GACAGCATTGTGGATGCACTCACGCATTTTCCCTGAGCATTATCGGGTTTCATCTCTTCAATGAAGTCCGGTCGGCTGGGCTCCAAAGCTAAACGCTTCGCAACTTGAGCACGCATGAACAGATTATGCTTCGCAATGATCTTCTTAGCAAACATTCTAACAAACGGGCTTATCATCGCCTCCAACAACGGATATGCCCGCCGGAAGTGTGCCATGTCATGCTGCGCAACGAAGAACTCCAATATTGTCGCAACCCATGGATGAAAGTCCCTCCGCTCCATATTCGCAAAAGGCTCGCCGAAGCTGAGATCGCCAATGACATCAAACGAGAAGAAGTTGAACCACTTGGCCAGGTCCAGGGATCGACCTTCGGCGCAGTGCTCTCCAAGATAGCTGAAGAGTTGGTCGATATGGTGGCGGATGATACGCTCCTGGCGCTGTATGCCTTGCCCTGAGAACGCGGGCGCTAGCAGACGACGTTGATGTGTGTGAGATTCTGTATCGGCCCCGATGATGCCTGATGCGACTTCGGCTACGAAGCCTGGGTGCTTGAGGTTCTCTGGCTGACCGGGCTTACGATGCCCATACACTTCTTTCCATGCTGTTGCGTGGAGGCATGATACTGAGTCTGGGCTTGTGCGGACAACGTCGCCGTACCTCTTGTGCAAGGCCAAGATCTGTTTGTGCGGCGTGCTCGACCATGACATCAACAGGAGTGGGAGTGGCGATACAGACCATAGGAACGGTCCGGGCACTTTCCTAAGTGGGTTAAAGTAGAGATTGTATACAATGGACCAAACGGTATGCCCGAAGACCTGTAGCGTACGTCAGTGGAGGTATCCTACGTGTCATTCCTCCGGGTTTAATACGGTGCATAGGGCTACTTCTAACAATGCCCAGAGTGAAAGGAGCTTCTGATGCTCAGTGAGCGCATCAAGAGGCCATGTGCTTGCGGAGCCCATTATGCGCACAACGAAGAAAGCTTGATATCAACGCTCTTTGGCAGTGTATACGAATACAAAATACGGGTCGTGTCAGCATCCCATGCACTGGAGAAGATGATTGCCGAGGTCGACAGCTCAACACGCGCAGTTGCGAAGTCAACTATAGAAGACGATTGCACCGACCCTTACATTGCATGCCGTCTCAATCCTTCCCATAGCGGCTAAGTCGTGGTCTCCAGCCAGGATCATGCATCTGCGGCGGAGTAGTGCAATGTTCCCACCCACGCTCCGTGGGCCCTTCGACTCATTGCGGACTACATATATTCGGTCGCCGTTGTTGCACGTCAGCCAGCACCTAAGGTACCCACAGAGGAGCCGACGCAGCCGACGGACGAGTTGGTCACAGAATCCAGATCAACCATGGCGGTGTGAGGCTAAGGCCGAGGAACGTTCCGACAACAGCAACTAGCAGTTTATGTACGATGATACACGCTCGGTAGATTTCTAGTTGCATTCTACGGCTAGAGTGACAGAGGCGTATGTAGGGAATGGCCCGAGCATGTCTGCAGTTTGCACTAGTACGCTTTAGGATTTCAGTCTCTGCCCAAGTGTGCGCACGGACGCGACACCCTCCAGCTAGATCGGCGGTGGCTGGGGTATCATCTCAACCACCGCCGACTCCGTCTTTCCATGCCTCACCACCGACGCGATCATCAGCCCCGCCTTCGCAGCAAGCTCGGCAAACGCCTTCTCACTGCGCACCTTTCCGCCGATGTTTAAGATGAACATGTCGACGGTGCTAGTGTATACACTTGGCTGTTCAGGGCGCAGATACTCAGCAATCAACACGCGCGAGTCGTCCGCGCAAGCCGCGCGCACGTTCTTCAGAATCTGAAGAGCTTCGTGGTCGGACCAGTCGTTCAGGACGCGACGTATGTAATACACGAGAGCACCTAGAGTGGTCCGTCAGCTTGTTTCCTGGCGCAAGTATCGTGTATCCTGAGAGGATAGAACTCGATTTCCGTACCTTTGGTGGGCTGTTCCCCAAAGATGCTGTGCCCGATCTTCTTCACCGGACCCAGAACAGCAGAATCTTTGTGCTCTTCCTCCGCTTCAGCGATGACATGCGGCTGATCTTGCAGGACACACCTGGCGGCAGGAATGGCAGGCGTCTCCTCCAAGATAGCCTTCAACGCCTGACCTTTCCCTCCGGCAACATCAACGATCAGCTCCCTCTCCGAACCGACGTTTCCCGCGGCAAATGCAGCTACCCAGCCAAAATCATACACCCCCGTGACAGGAATATCACCGTCAATGGCCATCGCCCCATTCATCCTTGTGGCCAACCCCGGGATCGCCGCCATGATTTCATACGCTGTCTTATCGGGCATGCCCAGCGCAAATCCTCCCGGCGAACGATTCGATCTAGCCGGCTCAGCGAGCCCGTTCGCCTCGAAGTAGTCTGTCCACCGCGTCGTTGGCCCCATAAAGAAGTCGAAGAGGTACGAATAGAATTGCGCGACGCGGGGGTCAGTGAATGCTTTTGACGCCGGTGTATGCGCCACACGGCCAGGTTCCGGGCTAGTCAGCATGCCAATAGCGAGAAAGAAGGCCGTGAAGCGCTCCAGAAGTTTGTACTCTATGCTCAGCTTTTCCGTAAGGTCTTTGAGAGAGATTCCCTCTTCTGGAATGGCGTCGAAGATGCCGTGCTCAACGAAGACGCGCAATACGCCCATCTCCGCCATGGATGCGAAGTATTTGCCGATTGGCGTCTCGGCCAGAGAGAATTCAGCAGCCATGTTTGGATACTGGATGAATGAGAAGCAACACTGAACGGAACGCGATGGTTGGTCACCAGAATCCACGATTGTGCGAAGACGTCGAATAAAGCTACAGAGCCAAGAGATCGTGCACGATAAGCAAGAGTCTTGGTCCTGCGAATTAGGTTTGTGTGGAATGCTTGTACTGGTAACGCCTCATTCCCGTCATGCGAGTGACCGCACTCGACATTACAGTAGCCCAGCTAGGTTTCCTGGTATCGTACCAAAATGAAACACGAATCAGAAGCCCACGAGATTAACCATAGGAATTCTACCGAGCTCTCGACTAGACATGGGCCCATGCCCCAAGCAGCCGAAAAGGCCCTTCTTCGTACCGGCAGTACCCGTTCTAGCTTTACTCACCGCAACAAGTCTCCCACGTCTTCTCGACACGTATCAGAACTCCTGCATGCAATTGTGTGTACCTGGGAAGAGTTGTAGCGGTCTAGAGGGTTGAGACGCAACCAACGTCACTTGGCAATCTCCCGTCCGACTGGTTCCGCCTTCACGACAAAGTTGGCACAAGCAAGAAACTGAAAATACTGGAACGTCAACCTGGCGTCCATGCTTCAATACACGTTTTAACCGAGTGTTGACATCTAGTACGCGATCATCGAACTACTGGTGACAGCACTCGTTTTCCCAAATGCGTCTCTCACAAGCTCCTGTACCCAGTTCGGCAACCCTTTCAACCATGAGATAGGCGCCGCGATACTAGGAATGAACAACTGAGCACCACGCCTGTTAATGATCTGCCTCACTATGACCTCAGCAACTTCCTCTGGCATCAACATCTTCTCGAGAATCTTTGGGTCTTGGCCACTTCTCAAGATCATCTCCTCAATCAGGGGCGTGCGGACCCAACTCGGATGCGCAATCGTAGTCTTGACACCCGAAGCTTTGTACCAGATTTTCAGCTCGCTCATAAGACCCTCATGGAACGCCAAAGCCGCGGTCTTGGTTGCCACATAGTCCGCATTAGCCGAGTTCGTCAGGAACGAGTTGACGCTCGCGACTGTTACGATATGGCCTTTGTTCTTTGCGACCATTTCCGGCACAAACTGTTGAACTAGCCGCCAGTGGGAAAGAATGTTCGTGTCGAAGATACGACTGAGGAACTCGCTTGGCGTTTTCAAAATGGTGTGAGAACCTGTGATGCCGGCGTTGTTGACGAGAATTGAGGGACTGCCAAGGTCTTTGCGAATCTTCTCGGCTGTTTTTGCTATCGATTCAGGGCTGGAGATGTCGCACCGGAAGTATGTCGACAAGTTGTTCGATGCAGATGCCTTGGGCGCATCCTGCACGTCGAGCACTGCCACGCGAATTCCATGAGAAGTAAGAGATTCTGCGATGGCTTTGCCAATTCCACTGCATCCTCCAGTGACCACTGCGATTTCAGTAGGCCAGTTCCAGCCACGACCGGCATATATTTGCCAGTTATTTGTTGCCCACGCGTTCAGAGCTGCATTGGTCTTCCTGACTATACCGATAGCAGCTAGAAACCCCAGTACGCGGAGCAAGTTGTATTCATCGACGATACGCGAAAGAAATGTTGCTTCCAAGGCGCATCTCCATGTTTTCTCTGGGGCGTATAGCAATAAGCCAAGAAGAGGGCCGGTAACGATGGGCTCGAAGGCGCATTTGGCGATGAGAGCTAGCCCTCTGAGAGGGAAGTCGACCAGTGCAGGCATGGATGGCTCAGCAGTTGTTCCGGGAGATAGAGATGGTGACCAGAATACTGACATCCTCAACCATTTGGAGCTAGAGTGTTACAACCTGAGCCGGAGGCTAGTCCAAAAGTACTGTGGCTAGGGCACGATTCACTGGCTTCATGGAGCTTGCCGTTGCACGGCAAAATGCTTACCGCAACGTTTATGTATAGCCATATCCGAAGTCATTCCGTTAGCTCCATCCGCAGTACCCCCAGATCAGCCTATCCGAAGTCATGCCGATCCGACGTCACCCCGAATCAACGCACCTGGAGTCCCACCCAAGCGGCTTCATCTCTGATCTAGCCATGGCGAACGATTCCGGCTAATCCATTACCCACTTGGAGCCTCAGTGCCTTGTTGATCGTGGTCCAATCCGTTGGTTCCCTCTAAATTCCTGGCGAGTCTAGCGCTGGAGTCGAACTAGATGAGCACATACATCGTGTGCCAGTCCTTGCACACCTAGAGGAAGCCGCTGCATCCTCTGTTCATCAAGTCTTTCAACTGGCCACTAGCCAACCACGAAGATGGGTGTTCTGACGACTATAGAAGGCGATATCTCAAAGTTGTTGCTATACGGCACAGTGACGATTATCTTCCTTATTATTCTAGCCTCAAAACTGAAAGATGGCAACAAGACGAGATTATCGATCCCGCATGCTCCTCGCCTCCCGTACAAACTACCCTTTGGTTAGCAGTATTCGCGTCACTTGAATATGGGGGTGAGACTGACCACCCCATGAACCATAGGACTAGACATGGCATGGAACCTAATAACGCGCCTTCACTCCAACACATTCGTCGAATACATCTGCGATGAAGTTCTCTCCATACCGGGCCGCACAGTCGAAATGAACCTACTCGGCAGCGACATTTTCATTACCGACCGAGCCGAGAACATCAAGGCTATTCAGGCAGATCAGTTTGCGGACTTCGCCAAAGGTCAGACGCCACATGATGTGTTCAGTAGTATCTTGGGGGACTCGGTGTTTACCACGGACGGGCCTTTGTGGAAGACGAGTAGGGAGCAATTAGAGCCGCACGTGTCGAGAGTGCGTCCGGATGATATTCCTACCGCTGAAGTTCATATGCAGAAGCTTTTAAGATTGGTCGAGAACTCACTCGAAAAGGTGGATGTGTACGACATGGTTGACAGGTTCCAACTCGACCTAGTCTCCCAAGTCTTCCTCGGCGAATCCACAAACTCCCTCTCCGCAAACGAACAACCCTTTCGCAAAGCCATGGAAAAGCTCCTTACGTTCAACACAAACCGTCTCCTTTTCGGAAGCCTCGCAAACCTCTTTCCGGACTGGCTCTTCGCGCCGCGAGCCTACCGCGACCTAACACGCTACATTGACGACCTGATCGAGAAGACACTAGCCCTCCCAGTCAACAACCAAACCGACGTGAAGACAGAAAAAGAGTTCAATCTAGTCGAAGACCTCGTGTCTACGCATCCGAATGATCGATATTTCATCCGCGGCCAGCTTATAGCCGTGTTGATGGCATCGAAAGACCCCGGTGCTATTCTAACGACATGGACTATATACCACCTCGCCCGCGACCCAGTGCTGTACAAGAAGCTTCAACAAGAAGTGGAAGAGCAGTAAGTGCATGATTCACATCCACGTCATTACCAAGATGGGGGTCGGCCACTGACAAATGTCATCTGTGTAGCATCGGTCTAGACTCCATTCCTACCCCCTCCCGACTCCGCAAGCTAGACCTCCTAGCCAACACAGTCAAGGAATCAATGCGCATGTATCATCCACTCGGCCTTAACATCCGTGAAGCACGTACCGACGCCATTCTGCCTGTTGGCGGCGGCCCGGAGGGGAAAGAACCTATTTCAGTGTCGAAAGGACAAATCATAGTGTACTCAGTCGCAGGCCTCCAACGCAACCCTACGCTGTACGGCCCAACGGCACACATTTGGGACCCCTCACGCTGGAGTGCATGGTCACCGAAATATGGAACTTATTTGCCATTCAGCATTGGCCCGAGACAGTGTCCTGGGAGGGTGTTTGGCAGGTTTCAGATTCAGTATGTGCTTGTGAGGTTATTGCAAGAGTTTGAGCGGATTGAGTGGTGTGGTCTTGGTGGTGGAAAGGACGGGACAGAGGAGATGAAGATTAAGGTTGAGCTTAATCTCAAATGCGCAGAGCCGGTGGTCTGTAAATTTGTGCCGAGAAGGAAGGATGTTGTCTAGGAGGGTGGTGCACGCTGGGAGGTGCAGAAGCTGTGGGCAGAAGTCGCATGCAGGGCAGCATTGAAGTCGGGAAAATGACGAAGTTAATTGCTGTTGATCAGGACTTGAGCCAAGGAGAGTTTGCTGGAGAAACGGTCTTAAAGACTTGGTTTGAGGGACGACAGGTGCATAGTTATGTGCCGGGCCAGTTGGGATTGAAGTCTTGGCGACTTGACCTCTACAGATTAGCTGTCCCTTCAGCGCATTTCATTTCCAGCGCAATGCAGAAATCCATGGCTTTGGCTATCCTCGCCTCATTGAATGGCACCTTCAGTCTCAATCTTCTCTTCTTCGTCGACTTCTCCAACCAGTGTGTATCCTTGAGGTTCCTTCACAGCCGCAACAAATACAACGCTGCCCACGATCAATACCGCACCAGCGACCTTCCACCATCCCGGCTCCAGTGTCCATACAATCTTATCCGCTAACATAGCGAACACTACCTGCAAGTTTACTATGTGAAGCGCTCTCTTCGAATCGCCGGTCATCAAGCTCGCAGCCAAGAGCCAATGCATAGCGAACCCCAATATGCCCAGCACGCACACGAACAGCCATCCTACAGCGGTAGATGGGAAGTTCAAGCCTTGCTGCTGTATGATGAGCGATGCGCCGCTGAGGAGCGTACATATGGGCGCAAAGTATGCAACCGTCGTCATCGGATGTACGTGCTCTCCTAGGCACGACATGGTCAAAAACGAGACTGCGCCGCCGAGGACACCGATAAGTGCCGCACCGATGGCCAGCGCGTGTGCTCTAGGCGTATTCGTTATATGGGCGCTCCAAGGCTGCAATACGCATAGTAAGCCGATGACCGCAACTAGAGCTGCGAGGACTTGAGCGACAGAGCAGCGCTGCTGACCTGGCAACAAGCCGAGGAGAAGGGCAGCAAGAATTGGCGCGAGGAAGTTAATCAGAGTCGCCTCAGCTAATGCGAGATAGCGTAGAGAGACGTAGAAGCCCCAGATACCGAAGAAACCCGCAACGCCTCTTACGACGAGGAGAGGGCGCAGCTTGGGAGGACCGAATGCACCGCCAGGCATGGCTACCGGGGACAGTATCATGTACGTCCACGACAGAACAGTGATTATCGACATCATTACAATGAGTATCTGGAGAACATCAGTATTTGCGTAGGCGGGCGGGTAGCATATCTCCATACCTCGGAAGTACCGACTGTTGTGGTGCCTGAACCGCCGCTACGCTGCGTTCCCAGGATGCGCCCCAATGTCGCTAGGATGGTGGAGCATATTTGCGCCAAGAGCATCAGAATAATACCGGCATTATTATGAAGGACAAGATCCGCGCTACTCGCAAAACCATAGACTCTATTTGTTATTGATGTAGCTGAAATCATGGTGTTGTGATGGGGAAGGTGTACGGAAAGCTCTCCGATGGAAGACGAGCTCGGGATGCGGGAATGTGAGACTTTACGTGTATTTGATGCGTTTCACGCCTCCTTTCAGCACAAACTTCCATACTGCGCAGCGGAATAATTTCTGAATGCTTGCTCGTTGGTCGCGTAGGTCGAAGAAGGAAATACGTGCTTCCAAACTCAACAATGCGGCTTTGGTGCGCTCTGGTCCACGTGCATCAACGTACTGCGGTCTGCGCAAAACCTGCATCATGCTGTTCTTGTCAACAGAATCAACGAGATCTTAACTCATCTGCTTCGCACGCGATTTATGATAAAGTCGAACTTGTGATTGGTCATATTGTCAACAAAGGCGAGGGACCGAAACGAAGATCCGGTCCGCTCGCAGTAATAGGCCCCAGCAACCTATTCAGCAACAAGCAGAACTTCCACCAGCCAAAAGATTATCGCTGGATGCTTGTGACACTCACTATGGCCGTGAATCTTCGCCGGTGACTCTCCATGATTTCTCTTGAACTTGGCCTCGCCCTCGCGCAGAGTGCGTACTCTCTTCCCACGACTCCTTCGGGATGCGCCAGATCCATTCATTCCCGAAAACCTTGTCGTCTATCTTCTCAGCATGGAAACCGAACTTATTGTTCATCAACCCCTTGAACGCAGTGTTAGCATCTACACAAGCTATGTGTATCTCATCCATGCCCAGAACAGCAAAGCCATGATCAATGGCCATACATAACGATTCATAGCCGTAGCCTGAGCCACGATAACATGTGTCCAACATCAAGCCTGCGTCACCAATCAGCTTGCCATCGGTCTTTCTTCTGCCAATCCAGCCCAAGCCGCCGGTACCGACAGTCTTTCCATCTATCTCGATGACGATGTTGGCACGCTGCAGTGGTAGATCGACGACCTGCCATTGCTTGATCAAATGCTCAATGGCGTCACTACTGTCAAGAGAGGCACATGACTTGTCGTGCTGGACATTGCGATAGTCGGAGAAAAGTCGTAGGAGTGCAGCAGCGTCGCTCATATTCGGGAGGCGGAGATGCAGTTGGGGAAATGTAAGCGATGTGATACGCAAGGCGCTTTCACCTTCGGACGATAGATTCGTCGAATGTGTGTAGAAGACGGTACTACCGGTAGCGGCAAGCGCAGGGTTTTCAGTCCCTGCAGGCATAGTCTCGGGATTTCGACGGGCTGGGTGACACTCAGAGAATCGGAAGTTTGCGCAATTGACTAGTGTGGTGTATGCAGATGGGTGCACATCCATCAGCTTCTTCTTCGATGCAACGTACGTTGGGCGTAATTGTTCCCGCCTCCGATGACGTGGCGACGTTCATCCGCATCGCCATTGGGTATGACGTCAGCCAACAGAGCCAAGGTAGTGCTTGTTTCTTCTAAGCAGATTGACTGCGATCAGAATACTTGCTGTAGTCGGTGAAGCTCGGTGAGGCTCCGTCGAGGGTTTCTGGCCTGTTCGCGTGGGTCACGGTGTGCGGCACATTTGCGGGATGGGGCTTTGTGCTTCCACGCTATCCTGAAACCGGACGATGGCCCCAGCTCGAACATGAAAACAAAGGGGATAACGGCATGCTCCAACACCACCTTCCACTCCTTATGACGCCGAAGAGGACTGTGCCCACACAACATCTCTAGGGCGTAAATTCCCGTTGAGTTCATTCCCCTACCACAAGTTTTTGGTGTTGAGCCGACAGACGTTGTCAGTGTAACCACCATTACGCTGAAGACTGCGCGGACCTTGAGCCTACCATAGCTTCACGACATACAGAGCCTTACATCATACCCTCTCTGCTTTTAGTTCCACATCAGACTGCTAAACTCGAGCTAAGATAGCAGCGATCATTGCGCGCAGCTTAGACGAAGGGGAAATTGACGGTGTCTGAGCGTTACTTCTAGGATATCACCTCGTCATCTCCAGCAGGCAACATTCAGGCACATCGGTTTATCGTTCTTCGATGGGTTCATCGTCGCTAAGCTCTGGTCTCACTCTACACTCTCAATGGACTTCTGCGAGGCTATGGGCGAAGCTTATTTCTTCCTTGCACGCATTGAGGCAGCATCTTGGAGACTAGAATGACGCGGTTAGTGAGACTAGTCACGGTGCTGGGCATGTATACGTATACACACCAACTTAGGTACCCCACAAGGACCGGCTCTTGCCGCAAGGGTAAAAAAAGAGGTATACAAAACGAATTTGTATGGCACTACTTCATTACATTCGTCCAAGAAGGCGCTCATTCGTTCCGAGCGATTCCACGAGTATGAATTGTGCAGGTAAAGGCAGGGATACATTCACAGGACCAGTGTGTCTGCTTCAACGCCCTCTACACTCAGTGCAGGCCTTGCACTCGCCACTTGGGAGACAGCATACACTATCAGAGACATAGGGAAACGGAATATGCTGAGACCGGTACTACAAAGCCGCTTACGGGCTCTTGCTATTTTGCTGATCTGAGTTTTCTTCTTCCCAAAGCATGCTACTGCTTGACACCGGACAAATCCCTTCGGACAATGACGAATTGGCAGGCACTTTTGTGGCTTTCAAGGAGCTTCTCACTACGATAAGCATTGGAAAAAGTAAGACATAGGCTCCCGGCGTGGTGTTCACTCCTGACAGCGTTGGTAGGCTGAGTCATAATGTACGAGCAAGGCGAAGCTGTAGGAAGAAGTTATGCGCCGCCTTTCCCTAGACCTTCGCATATAAGATTCGGCTTCTCCGTTCTTTCTTACTTGGATACACGTATAACCACTCTTTAGCATCGAACCTCCAACCAAGAGAGCAACATACCATTTTTTTCAACACATTCAACAAGAGCTCGTTGACCCTCTCCACCACCTACGGCCTCCCTTGAGAAAGCGAAGAAGAAATTGCTAAATACCATGCCAATGTCTAGCCAAGCGAAAGGTAGTGTCACTACAGCGTCCAAGATGTCACAACGAGGGCGTACGCTGATACTCGATCTTGGCGACGTACTATTCCACTGGTCGACCCGCGAGCTGACTGCTCTTCCACCTCAAGACTTCCATTCAGTCATCCTGTCACCAACATGGACCGAGTTAGAGCGCGGTAGCATCGATGAGCCCAGAGCTCTTGGAATTATTGGCGAGGAGTTATCCATCGAGCCGGCAACGATCAGCGAAGCATTCAAGCAGTGTCGCAAAACACTACGTGTCGACCATGACCTACTTGGAAAACTCAAAGAGCTCAAAGCGGAGATGAACGGCCATCTCAAAATTTACGCAATGAGCAACATCGCTAGAGACGACTTCGCACGCCTCCAAGCCGTGTTATCTGACTGGAGCTTGTTCGACGGCGTTTACACGTCTTACGAGGCCGGTATGACGAAGTTTGAGCTCGGTTTCTTCGAGCACGTCCTCAAGAGTATTGGATGTAGCGACCCAACATCTGCAATCTTCGTCGATGATAAGCATGGGCAAGTCAATACGGCTCGCTCTTTCGGCATTCAAGGTATCGTCTTTGAGTCTGGAGATAAGCTCATGCGTCAACTGCGCAGCCAACTATTCGACCCCGTTGAGCGAGCTCGTCAGTACATGGCCGACCATGCCGGAAAACATATGTCTCGTATCGAGAACGGCCCTGATCTTCATGAATTCTTCTCCCAGTTCATCATTCATTATGAGCTAGCTGATGAAAGCTTTCTCAGCCTTTCGCCACCCAATGCTGAGCCTGATGAGGTTGAAGCCGCCATTGGCCAAGCTCGCAAAGAGGCTAAGATGTGGAACTACTTCAACGGCCCTCCCATTGGTACGACGAAGACATGTAAGTTGCTCGACGAACTTATCGTTATGGAATGTATTCTAATCTCACAATGCTATGTAGTCCCTGATGATGTCGACACTACTGCAAATGCTCTGCTTGCATTCTCACCACCCTCTTCTTCGACTGACCCCGTATTGGATCGCATGCTTCAGAATAGACATGCGCAAGACGGGGTCGCCTTGACATACCTCTGCGACAAGCGACCTCGCTTAGATCCTGTCGTCCTCACTAACGTCATCCGCGTCTTCTACAAGTACAACCGTGGAGCAGATGTCAAGCCCGAGCTCGACTACGTTCGTCGCATTCTTCTGAACCGTGGCTACATTGACGGCACGGACATGTATCAATCCGCTGATAGCTTCCTATACTTTTTGTCCTGTCTTATTGAAGCAAACGACACCGCGCCCGAAATTCGGTCTCTCGGGGAGCCGACAGCTGCTGCGCTTCGAGAATACGTTGGCCGTCGTGGAGACTCTTTCGCCGTCACCGCACGTGTTTTGGCGTGTCAGAAACTTGGGGTGTGGGCGCAACCTGACATTGAGTATCTCAAAGAGTTGCAAGAATGTGATGGCGGCTGGGAGATTGGATGGGTGTGTCGATTTGGACGGAGCCATAAGAGGATTGGTAGCAGGGGCGTACCTACGGCGTGGGCCATCAAAGCACTTGAGAACGAAGCTCAGGCTTTAGTTGAACAGGAACGTTAACTTATCGGTCTACTACTGATCCATCAACTCCAAATTGTCCATACAACGTCTCATACACAGCGACTGCGGTATATATACCACTGTATACTGAAAACGATGTGTATCAGCCGCTGAATGCCCACAATTCCGATTCACACAGAGGTGAAAGCCGTACTTATGAAGACTGTCCACTCATCCATCACACTCTTCTCGTCGCAATTTTACCAAGTGACCAGCCGACGAATACAGTCACAATTTTCGACACTCTTATCACTCCAGTCACACCCTCAGCACTACCAAACACCTCTCGACCTTTGCAATCGCACGAATAAACAATGTCTACAGGATCTACTGGCGAGCGATTCAAGTACCCTGATGACGAATGTCTAACAGCGTACACCAAGGCTTTGGAAAAAGGTAGAATGCTGCATACACAGGCTCATTCTGACCGACCCAGCATTCCCCAGAGCGGGTTCCAATCCGTCTCCGACCTTGAAGAGTGGGGCTATGTTCTAGATGTTAAAACCGACCGGGTAGGGATTATGTGTTCGGCGCAACATGTGCTCGAAACTGCCAGGAACGGCGAGACCTACCTGGCCACCGACGCCTGGTTCCTCAATAATATATATCTTGATGATGGCATGATCGAATCGGCGGCTAACTACGCGCCTCACGCGTTGGCATCGGGCTTGGTGAAGTCCGTAGACCAGCCAGCACGCGCAACGGTGCCTACGCTGTTGCCCAAACTATGCCACTGGAGCGACGTGGCATACCTCACATGGCTGCATGTTACTCGCACTGAATCGCCAACGCCTGTATTACGCATCGTCTCTCACTACGGGGACAGTGTTGCGTCTGAAATGGTAGTGCAGCATGTAACAGCTGGAGTACAGCCGCGCGAATCTGGGCCCTATCTCGAATACGAGTTTGATGCAGACTCAGATGAAGGCTTAGCGATACTTGGGACGCCTGAAGGAGCTGGTACCGCCTATCTTCTGGTACAACATAGGGAGGGGCTGGGTCGTCGGGTTGTCGACAAGATTGTTGCTTCTGATTTCGCGGATCCAGAATCTAGGCACTTGCAAATTGTGTTTCACATCAAAGAGGCGGAGAAGGTAGATGGACACGTCATGTAATTGAACGTAGTCAGTAGATTGACTCGTCATGTAGTTGAACGTGGTTGGTAGCTGACTGATCTTCGATAATCTGAACTTGTCGTCGCACGTTGTCCGGCTCATAAAATGCATTGACTTTCTTCATTCTCCTCCTAGCATCTGACAACATCATCTAATCATCTTGGCTTATCCTCTCCGCCATCACAGCCTGGTTCTTCTCGTTGGCATGTGCAAACTCTCTGTATCTCTGCTCCTCATCTGACTTGCTCGCCCTTACAACTGTTCGGTTCTCTTTGTTGAGCCCCATGCAGAGCCTCGGGTTCTCGTAGAACATAATATCGATTTGCTCCAGTGTACGTCCGGAAGTCTCAACGCCAAAGAAGTACGTGAGAGGTACAAAGGACGCGCATACAGCTGCCCAAACCCAGAAGTAATGGCCACGGATGTTGTCAAGACCGATCGGGGTGACCATGACGACCACGAAGTTTGACATCCAATGCGAGAATACGCCAACCGCTGTTGCCTTGTTGCGGACTCGGAGAGGTTGAATTTCGGCTGAGTAGGACCACGATACGGGCAATATACCGAGAGTGAAGCAGTCGAGATACAAGAAGATGAAAGCTACAGCTGCTGCGGCACTGGCATAGCTGTTCTTAGCCAGACATCCGGCGATAATAGCCATGCATGCTGCGCAACCAGCTGACGAGCCCATGACTGACCATCGACGCCCGATCTTGTCGATGTAGAAGTAAGGTGGCCATGAGAACACGGCATACTGAGTGAAGGCCACGGAGGCAAGGATAAGAGACATGCTCGGAGAGTAATCGAGGTACTGCTGGAAGATGTAGGCGAGATAGTAGCACAGCGCGTTGATACCGCTCCACTGGTTCATCATGTATGGACCCATCCCAAGCACAACACGGTGTAGATTGCGGGTCTTGGTGGCGTTGCTGAAGACTTCGCCCCAAGTGGGTTCTTCTTCGCTGCTCTCTGCCGCGATAGCGTCGAGAATCTCCTGGAGTTGACCTTGCACTTCTTCGTCATCCAGAGGCTTGTCTAAAAGTCGACTGATGGTGTGTTTCGCCTCATCAATCTTTCCACGGGATGCGAGCCATCTCGGTGTTTCGCACAGGAATGGGCAGAGCGCCAAGACCATGAGCGAGAAGAGGATCTGGCACGCGACGGGAAACCTCCACTGCAGTGAGCTTTCGGCGTACAGTGTCGCAAAGCACAGCCAAGAAGCGACCGCGACACCGATGATGATCAGAGCGGACTGAACGACGAGCAGCGAGCCGCGGTTGTGCGCCGGCAATGTCTCTGACTGTAGAATTGGCACCGCGACCGTTGACAGCCCGACGCCAATACCACCAATGATGCGCGAGACAAACATCTGCCAGTAGTCAAAGCTAGCGGTCTGTATGGCAGCACCGATTACGACGATGAGGTTGGCGAGGATAATAGAGCGCTTGCGTCCGATGCGTTCACCGAAGACGAAAGCCACGACAGCACCGAGCGCGCATCCAATATCGTAGATAGCGGTGACTAGTCCCGTCATTGTTGGGTTCGGGTTGCCGAGGGTATCCTTGAAGCGCTGGCCACCCAAGATACCGCCGAAAAGTCCTTGATCATCTTCAATCGTGTTAGCTATCGAACCACGATGTAAAGTGAGTTGCTTCAGGCTTACACCCAAAGAGAAGGAAGTCAAGACCAGAGGTCAATAGAATAACCGCGATGAGGCTCTTGCCTCTTAGTTCAAACATGATGAAGAAGACCCTGAACCCAATAGTCTGGTAAGCAGGAAGGGACTGCAGAACAGTATGATCGTGAGCCAAACATGTGGGCCGCAATCATGTATCCTTTATACTCGCAACCCCGTAGAGATGTGCACCGGCATCTCCTCATCTAGGTTAACGTCGATGCTTCTAATGTAGCGCGAGGTATCCATGTGGAATCTCTTAGCGGACCGTGTCCGGGGAAATTATGGATACGCGGGGAAGCAAATGCGGAGGTGAGGACTGTCAAAGCTTGCGCGAGAACAAGGCTTCGAACAGGTACATTCATGGCGTTGCATCTGGGCTGAAGTCATGCTAGCTGGGCCGGCTGGGCGAGAATGCGGGGTTCCGCTTTAGGAAATGCCGCGTCCTGAGTGCGGAAGGTTTGCCGCGATTGAAGCACCAGGTGATTTCGCGGGTTCCTGTCAGCCGTCAGGATGAACTCCAAGTGGCTCAGACTATGACTCGCACTGTCTCGTCGTTTTTCGGTGATGAAACATACCTAGGTAGCAGTACATAAGCTTGAACCTCCTAATCGGTCGTCAAAGCAGAAGCCTCAAAAACGCTCAATTGTATACGCGATGCGTGTGGGGAACGCTGATGCCGGTAATCAAAATCTCGGATCGAGATACTGCGAAGACAAGGGTAAACATCCCGTGCATGATGCCCGGGCATCTGGGAGTATCAATAAAACTCTTTACCTTCCTGGATGATGAAAACGCGTTCCCAGGTTGTTGATACGTTGAGTAGGATCAGTACACGCAAATATAAGTCAGAAGGATGAATTTGGGGCAGTATTGTACGATGAAAGCATATCTCGGGTACGTGTACAATGCAAACACATGACCTTGATGTCGCGGCAAAGCCGTTTTTATGAGATTTATGAGACTCTCAGTGAAAGGTAGTCTTACTGCCCTTGCTTCTTTTCATTTCCACCATCTCGTAGCCTCTCCACCTTTCCATGAGCCTTGCAATTCTCTCACTCCAGCTCACCTAACATTTCTCTTGTCGCGCTCAAGCTCTTGGTATCTCCGTAGATCGCCGCGATCAGACTTCCATCGATTTTCGGGAATTCGCGTTGGAGCACTTCGACGTTATCGTCATCATCGTCTTTTCTTCCTGCTGCCTCGTAACTCTGCATGACCTCGATTTGGTGAGAGCGGTCCTGTCCGGTGGGAAGTGCCATCTCCGTAGCTGTGCGACGAGGTGGTAGACCTGGTGGGACTTCCTCATGTCCAGGGTAGGAAGACTGATTTGGATAGGAAGGCTGAGGCTGTTGTTGCTGATGGTGGGGTTGCTCAGAGAACTCATGGGGTTGGGACTGCATGAATGGGTTGTGCGATTGGGCTTGGCTTGGCTCTTGGCTCCATGGAGAGGTATCCTGGTGTTGAGGGGGGTATTGCGCATACGGCTCTTGGGGAGGATGTTGGCCTAGCGGATTTGGGGGTGGCTGTTGAGCATACGGGTTCGGAGGCGGGTCTTGCGCTGGTTGGTAGGCTTGGTAGGGGTTGTGGCTCTGGTTGCTCTGGCCTTGTTGGTTTCCTTGGTCCGCCCACGGGTTGTCGTTGTGGTTGGAGGCCATGACTGCAATGTGTGTACTGCTCGATGTTCGTGTGATAGAGGGTTTGAAGGTTCGAAAAGGAGTGCAGCGCGCTTGTTTGGCAAGCAGGGAATCTTTGAGGCTCAGGGCTGACTGTTGGCTGACGAGTACGTGAAGGCGCGGTAGACGATGACGTACGCTTAGCGCACGTGCCTCTTCGCCCCGCTTCGACCAACAGAGGCCAGGCGCGTACTTGCTGCGAGGTCTAGAGGAACTTCGTACACTGGACCACGGGTCGTATGTCAAAACTACATTGTCAAGACAGTCGCCTCGACTTCCATCACCATTGTGCTCCGTAACCATGTTCAGGATGACGAGTAATCAGCGCGATGTGTGCAAGGAGCCTCGCCGGAAGCGGACACCCCTTGCATAACGCGGGCTGCTCCTTCAAGGTGCTTCTAAAGTACTATATATGAGCAAGCCAGGTAGGATGCGTGATTGTATCTTCAAATTCACTGTATGAGAACACATCCTCCTCATCGTCGCAGTCATGGCAGCGCTGAGCTTTAAGCCCTTTGTCCTCCGTTTGTTTAG